AGAGAAGTTGTCTCGTCCAATGGCGGATTGGCCATCGGGACGTTCGGGACGAATCCCGTTGGGTGGTCACCAAGTGGGCCCATGGGGCTGGTCTGGTGAGACTAATGAATGTTAAGCTAGTTGCTAGCTGTCAAGACTGCAATGCGCGTCCCTCCCATGTTGTTAGTTTGCTGTGAGATGTTCAGAGGGAATGTAGGTGTCAATCTTGTGTTTTGATGCTTGAAGGAGGAGATAAGAGCGGCTTCCTCCAATACGAAAGAGGCTCTCGGTTTTTCTTGAAATCTGATTGGCTCAGCGCAGTCATCAGTCATTACTCATGGGAAACCAGGCTAGTGTGACCGTTAGTGCTAGCTACTGAGAAAGGAGAAAGACAGAAAACATGGATAAAGCCAGTAAAAAAAGAAAGGGTGGCGCGGAAAAAACTTCTTCTAGGTGTCCATTTCAAGAGGCCAATTAGCCTACTAGGTATTGCAATAACTCAGTATACAGTGCTCAGCGTAAATGAGTACACCCCTTTGAAAAGTAACATTTTAAACAATATCTCAATGAACACAAAAACAATGTCCAAAATGTTGACAAGACCACGTTTAATATAACATCTGTTTAACTTACAACATGAAAGTAAGTTTAATAATATAACTTAGATTACACATTTTTCAGTTTTACTCAAATAAGGGCGATGCAAAAATGAGTACACCCCACAACAAAAACTACTACATCTAGTACTTTGTATGGCCTCCATGATTTTTAATGACAGCACCAAATCTTCTAGGCATGGAATGAACAAGTTGCCAACATTTTGCTACATCGATCTTTTTCCATTCTTCAAGAATGACCTCTTTTAGAGACTGGATGCTGGATGGAGAGTGATGCTCAACTTGTCTCTTCAGAATTCCCCATAGGTGTTCAATTGGGTTCAGATCAGGAGACGTACTTGGCCACTGAATCAATTTCACCCTCTTCTTCTTCAGAAATCCAACAGTGGCCTTAGATGTGTGTTTAGGATCATTGTCATGTTGGAAAAGTGCACAACGACCAAGGGCACGGAGTGATGGTAGCATCTTCTCTTTCAGTATAGAGCAGTACATCTGTGAATTCATGATGCCATGAATGAATTGCAGCTCCCCGACACCAGCAGCACTCATGCAACCCCACATAAGGACACTGCCACCACCATGTTTCACTGTAGGCACCATGCATTTTTCTTTGTATCCCTCACCTTTGCGACGCCATACAGTTTTGAAGCCATCAGTTCCAAAAACATTTATCTGGGTCTCATCACTCCAGAGTATAGAGTCCCAGTAGTCTTCATCTTTGTCAGCATGGGCCCTGGCAAACTCTAGGCGGGCTTTTTTGTACCTGGGCTTTAGGAGAGGCTTCCTTCGTGGACGGCACCCACGCTTGCCATTCCTCTGCAGTGTTCGCCGTATTGTGTCACGAGAAAGAGTCACCCCAGTTTGGCTTTCTACTACTCTCAGGTCTTGTGACATTTCTCTTCCATGTGGTGCCATTGCTAACAACATGAAATGGGAAGGGGTTTACTTTAAGTAACACCCTTTTATAGTCAACTATCTGCTGGACACCTGTGTAATGAATAATTAGACTCACCTGTGGTTGATTATTGTTAAATTAGACATTTGTAGTCTAAAATTTAGCTTTGCTCCAGAGACTTTCAGTGGGGTGTACTCATTTTTGCATCACCCTAATTTGAGTAAAACTGAAAATTTTGTTCTCTAAGTTATATTATTAATCTTACTTTCATGTTATAAGTTAAACAGATGTTATATAAAACTTAGTCTTGTCAACATTTTGGAAATTGTTTTGTGTTCATTGAGATATTGTTTAAAATGTTACTTTTCGAAGGGGGTGTATTCATTTATGCTGAGCACTGTAATTTAAGCCAGTACTGAAAGAAAATATGTGCTTGCTTTTTTCCTGTGGTTGCACGCAATTAACGTTTGGTGGTGCTCCCAGTCCCAAGGACAATGAAGCTGAGGGACAGACTAACCCCAGTCGTGATGAGAAGGAGGATGAGACCAGAAATATGACAGGTGCAATGTGAAGGCATAGCCTACTATGCATTACATTTTAGCCAGAGGAAAACCTTTAGTAGTACTAAGTGGGATTTTTTTGTTGTAGTATTAAGTTGACTAAAAGTTGACCATAGGGTCTATTGCCCAATTTATATTTCTTCAGTTCATGGCTGTGAGCCACGGAGATAAATTGGGCTTATGTAATACAAGAGCAGGGCTGGGCAAGACAGGGCAGACAATTATGTTGTGCATAAAATTAGATGCATTAGGATAGAGTCATATGCTCTTATTTTAAGTTAAATAATAAGCACATAGCCATTTGTGGCCAATTCATTATTGCGTTTATTTTATAGTCTGGAATTAAACAATAACTGCTGATTTTCTTATGTAGTGGATTCTGAGGACAGTGTTTGTGTAGTGTGTACAAGCGTATAGAGGATTATTGGTAGAAACATGTGGGCCGGTATGTGGGCCGGTGCGCCTGAATGTCCCGGGCTGAATTTGTGTCCCAGTTCACCCCTGGTCTCGTCTCTTATACAACATATGTGAACATGTAAAGATACTTTATTTGCACTTAATTATACATTCATACTTTTGGTTTTTGTGCAGTCTTGTAATTCTGCATGTGACCACCACTAGAGTAAGTCTAAAAAAAAAAAAAAAAAAAAAAAGATATGAGCATTAGGCTTGTGCCGGTTTGAAAATTTTCCAACCGGTTTGATTTAAAGCCAAATATCTAACCGAACCGATATATCAAATTATATACCTAATTTTGCCACTGGGGGTCGCATTTGAGCTATTTTTCCCAATAAAAGCCCATTATAGGTGTAATGCGCTTCCAATCCACTAAGTGGCGGTAATGCTGTATTAACTGCCAATACACACAAGGTTACACAAGAAGAAGAAGACGCAGAAGGACACCAAGGAACCTTCCTCTGACTCCGCTCTCTCAGTGGAGACACGGCGGTTGAGAGGGCCAAATGAGAGGACGTTCCTGTAGTAGTTCCAGCCCCCCAAATAGTACCAGGAACTTCTTCAGTGGAAACGGGTTAGGGCAACAAACTGAATGACTGCTGACTGCCTCGCACTTTTCCCCGCCCCCAATGAAATTTGATCTCTCGCAGCAGCAGCAGACAGCTGAGCGGAGCAGAGCTGTGGAGTCCCTCTGCAGCCTCTAAGACAAACTAAACACTTGTAGGCTCCTCCAGTTAATTAATAAACAAACATAAACCTTATTAAGTTGTCATAATGCATGTTACAATGCAAGATAAGTTGAATATAGTCCCTTGACACGCTGCTGATGAGAAAAGCTTTTTTTTTTCTCTCTCTCTCTTCCGGTTTATTCAGTTGACGTGAATTATACCAGGTGGAGCTCTTAAACCGGACCAAACTGGTTAAACTGGAAATCAGCACAAGCCTAATGAGCATTTGGACGCTCTCGTATCCTTCTCACCTTTTTCACCCCTGACCCATTTTCATGCCTGCACTTGAAGGGAGTCGGTTGCGCTTTTAGCCCTGCTCCGGAGAAGGTCCATCTCTTGAGTGGCTCGGCATGGCTCAGCGTGTCTTAATTTGTAATGGAAAGACAAACAGGTGTTGCATGGTTTGACTCTGTGTGGCCAAAAGTGGTAATGGAAAAAGGTTTAAGACTCACTGCTTTTAAAACTTTTTCAAACTTCCCTTGACACCACTGATACTGCTCCCTGAAGTCATATCTCATGAACTGGTGTATTCACTTCAACTACACTTCCTCCACCACTCTTCTGTCCCAAGGTGTCCACCAAGGGTTAATGCTTGGGCCTCTCCTGTTCATTCTCTACACCCTCCCACTCTGTAACATCACCTGTTGTCACAGTCTCCATTTCCACTGCTATGCTGATGACACCCAAGTCTACGTTTCCACTAAATCCACTGTCACTACAAGTCACTTCACCTTGACCAACTGCCTCATTGCAGTTATATGCAGTTATATAATAGATGCAAACCACCTTTCTCAAACTAAACTATAATAAATCTGGTATGATTATCACTGGTCCAAAATCCCTCACCAAAACTGCTCACAGCTTCCGCCACACCAGCAACAGCCTCACTCTGTCTTTCAACCCACACAATCTTGGATTCATTTTCGACAGCAAACACCTATGTCATTATCTAAACAGCACTTTTGTTTTCAAAAATATAGCTTGTGTCCTTCCATCCCTCCCCCTTTCTGCTGCTGGAACCTTGATCCATGCCTTCGTCATATCCGGACTCCTCTGCTGCAATATTATTCTATGTGGTACATTATCCAAAGTCCTTAATAGAACTTCATTACATCAAGAACGTTGCTGCTAAGGTGCTTACTCCTGCTCCCATGACCACAACACCCACAACAGATTCAATTCAAACTCCTCATCACATACATAACCTACTATTACCAAGCCCCCTCCTACCTCACCCCCCTCCTCCACCACTATACTCCTTTCTTCAGACTCCTCTCATATCTCTTGACACCAACGTCCTGATTCCACCATCCAGAACAGGTGACAGACTCAATAGCTGCTTCCCAAAACTCCCTCCTCCTCCTCCTCCTCCTCCTCTCCCCAAACACATCTGTAACTGCACTGTATTGTTATCTTTTTCAAGAAATAACTCAAAACCACCTATTTAGAATTGCTATTAATATTTGATTTAATGCTCTGGGCTACATTTTTCTATCTATCATGTTTTGCTCTCAAGGAATTTGTATTTAACTTGAGGTGTATAGCATCTTTTAGCTTCTTGAAAGGCATTCTATAGATAAAATACATAATTAATAATATTATTTTTATTATTACTATTGTTGTGAACAATAGTAATAACAATACCAATAATAATGATAATAATGATGATAACAATAATAATGATAATAATCATCGTCAGGCTGATATATCATATGAGCACAGTAATGTATCAGTTTAACCCTGCTGAAACACTCCTGTTCTTCAGTGTTCAGATGGAGATAAGAACTGCCACCTGTGGACAGCAGTGGACCTGACTTTCTTTGTCCTGATGGGGGTGGTGGGTGGCCTGCTGGGGGCGCTCTTCAACTACATGAACAAGAGCCTGGCCAAGTACCGCATCAGACACATTCATCCAAAGGCCAAGTTTATCAGGTGATTGCTATCACCTGTTCACACAGAGAACAGTCCGACATCATGCCTATCAATCAAAGATAGTGACTGTCTTAAAGCCACAGTGTGTAGGAATTTCTCCCATCTAACGTTGAAATCGTACATTGCATTCAAACGGATAGCGCACTCTAGCACCTCACTGTTTCAAACTCGTATTGCAACAAAGGTAGCCGCTGTGTACCAAAAAGCTATGATAATATTGTTGAAACTATGTCATCCGATACTTCATGGAGTATTCATTCAGGCTCCTACACAGACACACATGACATGACTTGACAAACCCCCTCCTCACCATGCTTTCTGTGTTTACAACGTAGGACTGTTGGGGCAAGTGTAAATCGAAACAAACCAATCACGTCTTGTCTTTTGATAACTGACAAGTGGCTCAACCTCACACACCTCATCCCTCTCCTGGCATCACTGCACTGCTGACTGCGGCGCTGGCCTGTGATTGCATTACCTTTTTCCTTCAGCAGCTCTTTCCACCTGGGAAAGGCTACCCCGATGTTGACCCTTGTTTTTTGAATTTGCCAGTCACATTGCCTTTTTGATTTTGCACTTTCTTGGCGACGATGATTCCGTCTCCCGTGATGCTGCATATGATCCTGCATTATGCTCAAAGAGTGGGACTTTGTTATGCTGCAGTAGTGCTGGGGTAGTAGCGAAGCGCCTCTTGCTCCTCTCTTTCGGCTTCTCAGTCACGCAGCGCTGGCCTGGCTCTCAATGAAAACGCTAAAGGCGGGGCTATTCCCTGGTAGTGCTATATGTCCCTTGCAGGCAGATGTATTTTCAAGATGGCGAAACGTTATGGAACCCCCCAAACGACTTACCCGCCCAATGTACAAACAAATCCGAAATTCTCCTTTTAAGAGAATAAGTCAGATTATTGGTGGAGGCAATAATACACCTGTGGTGACATATTTATGAATGCACACATCGATTTTTGCCAATAAACAACTGAAAATGCTACACAATGTCCCTTTAAATATCAGTTGAACTTTTGAAAGCTGTGATTTGAAAATGTGAAGCTAATTTCTTTTCAAGCATGTAATTACAGAAGCTGATCTGGTGTCTGCACTTTTCCAGAGTTCTAGAGAGTCTGCTGCTTGCCATGGTGACAACAGTGGTGATATTTGCAGCTTCCATACTGTTGGGTGAATGTCGTGACCTGTCCTCCCCTACAACCCATAACACCACGGTAAGTATCAGTCTGTCTGATCTGTCCTCCATCATTAATAGTACTGAGAACAAGGCCACGCTGACATGAGCCCAGCTAAGTCCCACCAAAAAATGCCTGAACATGCTGCCTTTGCATTTTTACACAGGACCAAACAATTGTAGCTTCTTGCAACTCCTATGTGTGATTATAGACATGTATAGACATGTAACTCAACAGCTTCAGCCTTTAGTGTTATATATAGAAAGTGCTGCTGATGTGTATGTTACACATCAGCAGCGCATTCTAAACAATAACAATGGCAAACATGGCAATGATGGCTGATCTTGTCCTCTGCTCAGAGGGTTAGGAGCTCCTGGACATTATGTTTTCCCAATTTACGGACATTTTCAGCCACTTTTTCTTTGAGCCAGCCACTAACTGTATCAGTTAGTTTTTATATCCCTGCTGTATTTTGCACACATAACACATCATCAAAGCATCACACCGACGCCTCCCATGATCCTGTCCTGCAGACTGTCCTATTTATACAGACATTGTCTTGGTGCTGTTACTACCCCAGTCCCAGCTCAGAGGCAAGACAACTTCTTCAATTTAATTTGCAAGTCTGAAGTCTTGTCTCTTGCCTGCTGTAGGTGTTTATGTTGGTTCTAACATGTTTGTGTGTGAACTGGGGGCCATTGGGGGATGTTTTACACATTATACACCTGTCATAATGTGCAGGAGACTTTGTCGCTGAGTGTCAGGCAGCACCAATCAGACCTGCAACAGACATTATCACTATTGTTAGCAACAGAGCTGGGAAGCTCATTATCTCACAATTGACAGGTGCTGATTTTCGCAAAACGTTCATCATTGAATTCATAATTTTCATCGCTTAGTCCATCCATCCATTTTCTGCTGCTTATCTGGGTCCAGGTTGCATTCATTTAATTAATGATATTATTAGGAGTTATTGTTTTTTACTGCTGGGAGGCACTGACAAAAATGTGATTATAATAATCATAATAATAATAATAATAATAATCAGGGTTCAACGCTAAGGTTTTTTTTTCACTTGCCCGAAGTCAGTTTTTACTTGCCCTATAAAAAATGTTTAATTTAAGCGGCTATCAATTAACAAAGACTGCAGTTATTTTTATGTTATGTAATCTTTATTCACACTGTTTTTATTAATTAAAACAACATATGTCATGTATTGTAGCTTAATTCCTACACAAATATGACTATATGGGCTTAAAGTGAAAAATTTGTCAATCATTCTCCGTCTATAATTTTGCGCCCTACTTGAGCCATGCCCACCTCTATTTATTTTTCACCCCTCTCTCCAGTTCTGCTGTATTAACACCGGGTTTAATATATTTTGCTTCCATCTCTCTGCCCTGCTCTACTTTACTTCAGTGCTACTTAGCTCTCTCTCTACTCTACCAGTAGACTACCACATCCACCTGTTGCACAAAACGTACACAACAGTGTTTCCCCTAGGATGGAGTTGTAGCAGCGGAGGTGAAGCACACGCATGAAAAATAATTTTCACATGCGTGAAACTTTTTTGTATGCTTGCAAAGCACAGCCTGCTGGGATGTTTCTGTGTATCTACTGCTAGGCTACCAGAAGGGCTCTTTAGGACTAAGTACATACAGTAGGCTACATGTGTGCACAGTATGAGTAGATGAAATGTCTGTCTAGCTTACATATGAGGTGTCTCAAGATTTAGGAACATAAAATTGTATTGAATATAATAAAATTAAAAAGTCACTTGACATGCTGCTGTTTTGTGCTATGACCTATTTAAGTGCTGGAAGTTGTTATTTACGTGACAACGCCTGAACGCAACACAAGCTCAGCATGAGTGCCATGCGAGCAGCATGTTTGTCTGTGCGTAACAGCAGTCTGTTGATGGTTATTTACACACTGTCCATTTCAATAACTTTGTTAGCTGACAAACTGCACCGGGCTCGGGGTCAGGTTTGGTCATGAAAATGCGGCCCGAGCCACACTCTAGCGTGCTCACCTGTGTGTGTGGCGGAACTCCGCTGTGCGCCACACAGAGAGCAGAGGAGAATTGGTAATGCGTGACCATGTAGAGACAGAAATGACACGAAGACATAACACCATAAATAGTATATTGTTCTTTTATTATATGAAGCGTCCGTCACGCAAAATAATATCAATGGGGGCTGTGGGCAGGACATTGATACACAACGTGTGCCTGTGACTTCAGTTAGTTTACATGCCCGACCTTGAGTTTTACTTGCCCCGGGCAATCGGGCAATCTTTATTGTTGAGCCCTGATAATAATAATATTTTTGTATAGCACTTATCTAAAGAAATTTACAAAGTGCTTCACAAAGTGCATGAAAATTAGACAATAAAACAATACTGTATTTAAAAAAAAAGGAAAAAAAGGAAATAAAACACAAAAGGTACAGATCACCAAAGTATAAATCAGGCATTAGGGCTATGTTTACTCCCTATTGCCGCTTTGCTGTAATGCTAATCTGTGTGTTGGTGCTTTGTGTTGCTTGCATGTCTGTTTGTGCTAAAATGCTGTTTGTTGTTCTTGTGTTATGGTATTGCACTGGTGCTCTGATGTTGCTTGTTGCTTTGCATGGCTTCTGCATGACCTTGACAATTTCTAATTGCTGTAGTTAATGCTGTCTTTATGTGTTTATGCTGTCTTTGTCCTGTGAATTGTCCTGTGACAATTTTGGTCCTTTCATTAGCCCCTTTTCCACCAACATTTCCAGGAACTTTTATTTACCTGGGTGAAATAATTCCTGGTAATCTGTGTGGTTTGCGTTTCCACCGCACCTCAAAGTTCCAGAAAATGTATTCAATTCAGGCTGATGACATAGATGATTCGACGTGTGCCCCATATTTATCTCCGCCAGCTTATTGGCTGGTAACATGGTAATATAAGTACTGGTAGAGTGAGTAGGGGCTGTTTGTCTCAGCCAGCAGCTAAGTTTAAAAGTATTTTAAGATAAGTGTCAAACTAAGTTAGTCTACATACAGACAGCTGTCATTTGAGCTTATTAGTGACAATTTGCTATCAGCTGAACTAGCGTGCTGTCCTTGTGTAAGACATAACGTTAGTGACGGTGGATGAGAGACTGTGGACGGAGCTTTTTAAAATTTCTCTGTCTACATGTTTACATGTTCATGCTTGCTGAACACATGTATTGATAAATTATTGGCTTCTTACTTGCCAAGGTTTAATTGACCTATGGCTAAGCCCCGCCCTCAAACGCGATGAGCCAATCACAGTGCGTATAGCCATTCCCACATACTCGGACATTCTCTGCCTGGACGTCCATTGAAATGCATTACAGAAAGCTTTTCATCGACCTTCTCAACAATAAAATGATTAATATATCCCATGCATAGTTTAGGCCCTTTTGGTTACTTCTCAATGACATCTGATCGTTATGTCTCCAAAAATCATTAATTTCCTTCTGTGAAATGCCTTGTACTGTGACACCTGCCATAGTGCTGTTCACTGAATGTTGATATTTTGTCCGAGTGAGTGGAGGGGGGCGTGGCTTAGCCATAGGTCAATTGCACTCACAGTCAGGGGTGTAGCCATCATTTCAGAAGTGAGGGAGACAAATTGTTCAGAGGTCTGTTGAGTGATTTATCATCTTCTTGCGTTCAATTGCACCTGTCCTTAGCAGCTAAAGAACCACATAACCACAAACAGCCACAGTACAGCACCAGGGGACCAATTTTAGTTCTTTAAAATTATATACTATCAAAATCTAAAGTTTTAGCTGCCAAACTCTGGTTGAGTTGACACAGAATGACCCTTGAGCGTCTACAGGGTAAATAGCCAGATAATATAAGTGCCAAATACCTGCCTGGTTTCTCCCTGTCCCTCTTCTATCTATTGCAGTAATATAGATAATAAATGTGCAAAGCAAAATTTTAAAATAGAATTAACAATAGTAGTGGTGACATAGCTGTGGAAATTAATCGCAAACTCACTTTTATGCTATAGATATTTTCTCCCAGCCAGTTATAATTTCTTCTCACCTGTGAAGACCCTGTATGATCATCCTTGCTGGCCTCTGGTCCACTGTCTCCTCCCTGACCCTGCTCTTTCTGTTGTGGCAATAAAGATTAAAGAGCACAAGTTCTGAGCAGAAATTAAGGAAGAGTAGGTTTATTCCCTACTATGAAACTAGCTAGCAAGTGATTTAACATAGTTAACAATAACATTAGTATTCTTGTTAACTAGCTTAACTTGATATACTGGCATTTATTAATTAGTCATCATTTAGCTAACATTTTCTACATGCAACAGCATTACTCAACACGGTTTGTTTGGAAGAAACTGTGCAAGGTTTTTTGCTTCTTGCTGGCTGGTTTGCTGAACATACAGCAGCACTGCCCAGCAGCACGTCTCATTTGTGCAATTGATTCTGATCACAACAAGCATGTGTATGCTGCCTGGCGCCATCTACTCATGGTGTGTTTAAAGACGGCTCGGAAAAACACGTTGACACATGTTAAAAACAAATTGAACGGTTGTAAAAAGTGCGGAGGACAGAGGGCACAGATACAGGAAGTGCGGGGGACATGTCCCCCGCGTACCCCTTGTCCACTACGCCCATGCTTACAGTAATGTGTGCAGCTGCCATCAGCTCGAGTTTATCTTCACTTTGTTTCTGCCGCAGCTGCTCTGCTGTTCACAGGTTACCGTGTCATGTGTGTGTGTGTGTGTGTGGAGGAGATCAGCGCGGGCACAGAGTGCAGAGGAGAACCGACACCGTTAGCGCTTAACAATACTACGGTCTTTGATAATTTAGCCCCGGGTCTAATTTAGTACCAGGTTTCGGTACGGAAGTGCGGAACGCTGCAACTGTGTGTTCCATCACACAGCCCCACCCCTCAAAAATTCCAGGGAGTCTGAAAAGTCCTACCCCCCTACTAGGTACTTTTTTCAGGGAAAGTTTGGGGTTGAGGGAAAGTTTTTTCCCTGGGTAATTTCGGTGGAAACGTGCCAAAGTATTTAAAAA